AATCGACCTCACATAATTTGGACCATTCTCAGAAATGGACACGACGTTAGCATTCATTGATTTTATTTAATTAGCATGTCTTTCTTTCTGGGCAATATTCAAGAACGTATGATAAATATCTAAATTTGTGGTCCGAGTGATTAAAAATTTATTGATCATTGGATTTGTTATTAATATAAACTAGGGTGGACGGTTAATTTAGTTTATGAATTATCACTAAGTGAAAATTAGATCCATAAATTTTTTTTTTCAAAAAAATCAGTTTGTGAATTATAAAAATTTGCCAATTACATCCCTAATATTAGATTCGAAGCTACTATATTCAATTTTCCGTCAATTTAAGTCACGTTGCTTGCGTGTAATACACATTGGAGGATAGATTGGTAATTTTTAATAAAAAAAGGTAGAGTGGTGATATTTCCACCCCGGTGTCTTATTTCCCCACCCACCATTTAATGAAAATGTTAATAACTTATTTAATTCAATACTAAAATTTTGAAAAGACAAAAAATAATTTAAAATAATAAATAAATAATGGTGGGTGGGGTGTGATATCTTTGGGGGAAAGAGGTTGGGAAAGATTTGGGTTAGAAGCGACGGAAAAGTTGGTGGAAGGAATGAGCGTGTGCTGGACGAAGGCGAGAAACTTCAATGGAGAAAAAAGAGAATTGAGTGTGAGATCTGCGGTTTTGACAAAAAAGGAGGAAGAAGAGTGGTTTGGGGGTCCGGGGTCTCTGTAGGGCGGCGATATGTGTGAAGGAGATGATAAATGTCTAGGTCTTAGGTCTTACATTTTCTTTCATTTTTTCTATTTTTATTTATTTAATTATAATATTATTTAAAGATATATTAGAGTTATTTAAAAAAATATATATTATGGTTATTTTGGGAATAATGGTGGGTGGAGAAATAACATTTTACTTTTTAAATTTTTTATGGTGGGTGAGATTATCATGTGGGTGGGAAAATAGGACACTAGGGTGGGTCTAGTAGCACTCAAAAGGTATATGGAGTTAACCTAAGTTGACGAAAAATGACAGTATTACATTCTAAAATGTATCAAGTGACTTAAGTTGACAAAAAATTAGATAGAATAGTTTTAAATATAATAGTAGGGATGCAATTAGCAATTTTTAATGAAATTAGGGATTTATTTTACAGAAAAAAATAATTTAGAGACCTAATTTTCATTGAGATGATAGTTCAGAGACTAAATTGACACTTCATCTTATAATCAAAATTTCAAGAGAGAAGGGGTATCCCGCTGATTCAAAGGCAAAACAGCCTTTGGCACTCGGTGAGCGTTCGTAAAAAATCGGTTACTTGATATTCAAGATCGGAATTCCTTGCTTTGCCTTGTTTTTTTTGTTTTGTTTCATCTAGACCTTTCAATTTGCTTATTTAACGACGCATCATGTGAAACAACATAAACAAAAATGACCATGAAACGTCGTTTACCAAATTTAGACCCACATGAACAAATAATTTAATTCTTGTTTTGTACGGTGGCTATATAAGATAAGGTCTAATGATCTCTGAATATATACATGTGTGTGGCAGATTGGTCCTGCTCCCACTTGGCAGTCCTCCCTCAATTATTATTAAAAATAATTTCGGCACATCGTCTTTCTTCTTTTACGCATTCGCTTAATTTCTAATATTTAGTACTCTTTTGTTTTAATCAATCGAGAAGTCTGGATGAACTAGTGTGCCAAAATCACTTTTTGTCAATTATTGAACGAGACAAATGGCGGGCAGCCCGATTTGATGGAGGCGTGAACAATAGGACATTGCTCAATTTAAGGCCATAGAAATTGAACTGTGATAGCAGTGTGAGCATATCTGTCGTTTTAAAAATTGGCCATCCTCAGCACACGGTACAAACACAAAAACAAGAGGACGTGATGTCGTTTTTTGACGCTACGTTGTATTTTGGTAGTTTTACCTTCAAATGATTAGTTAAATATAAAATATCTAATCTGAGGGAAAGTGAAGAGTTGTTTTGAAAGAGGAATATTTGAGTATTTTTGTATAACTTTTTTTATTTTTTTTATTTTTTTTATTTTTTTAAGGGGGACAACTAGTAGCAAACCACGGTTATCCAACCCTTCCGGGACCGCGAAGACTCACTGAGATATTTCATTGTATAACTATCATTTTGGAGTCGCTTCCATCTTACGAAAATTAGATCTCTACCGACAATTTGAATAACCTATTAAGTTTTTAGTTTTTTTTGTTAAGGGAAGGATAATAATGAATTAGATGATCAAGCTACGCATAAGACTTGGTCATTGGTTTACCAGGGTAGCTTTACTCTCCAAACCCACACACGATATTAAAAAAAGAACCAAGACCTTAGGAATTAGCTATCAACTACAAAATTAGTCTAGTTCCCTTTCGCTTAGAGCAATTAGAAAGGGTTAACTCCCCTATAGAAAAACCCCTATGTCCACTATTTCTGAAATTTTATTAAATAAAAAAAAGCGAAAAAAAATAAATACAAGCGAGGGAACGAAGCCAAAATCCACGAACAATACAACATCAAAAAAGGAAAACTAGATGAAGAAAGAAAAAAATTTCTCAAACTACAATCCCAAACCGAGCCAAGGGAAACTGTTGATAAATCACTGGATGGTCAACTCCATAATTAGCTAAGCAATTTGTCACCTGAAGTTGTGATACATATTAATTTGAGAAGCGGAAGCCAGGCAACCCAGCAAAGTCTGAAAACGAAGCAGCATGAATTACCAACTTAGGAGAATCATTCCAAACCAAATTAGGAAAAGACAGGCCCATGTTAGCAAAGTTATTTGCAACAACATTCCCCTCTTGAAAGATGTGTGAACAACAAAAAATCATATAACGAATGCGGGCCAAAAAAGTAAATTATTGCATGCGAAGAAATCAAGGAGGACCAAATCATCCAAACCGAGAATATAAGCAACACTAGAAGAGTCACTTTCCAACCAAAGACACGCCAACCCCTCTGAAAAGCAAATTTTACACTAATAATAATTTTATAAAGTGCAGCAAAAGAAAGAATTGTGATGACCAATACCATGACAAAAACTACCAAGAAACTAGCCATGACAATCCCTCAAATGCCCCACAAGCAGCAAGATTAGGATTTTCTTTCGACAAACCATATGTATTAAGTTTAATCCAAGGATACCAAGGATGAGACCATAACACGGGAAAAATAGTAGGGGCCTTGAGAGAAATATATTGAATCCCTAAGAAGAAATGATACAAGTATCTAAACCTTGAGAGTATCTTGTAATAAACCTCCCGTTGTGGACGAGGTCAGAAATAAGGGACATGCAAAGACGATGGAAATATATTGAATGACCCTAAAATTAAACTTATTTCAAGCTTTCTAAATAGCCGAAATAGTAAAAAAAACTTGCAAAGACTCAAAGGTTGTGCAACTGATGGGAAAAGTGGTTACGCACAAAAGCATGCCGAAAAAATAGCCAAAGAATTTGAAACAAGCAAAGATGTACCAAATTAATATGCTAACCACTTCCCAAGTTGCTTAGAAAACTGGCAGCTGGAAAAAAAAAAAAAAAGATGAGCAGTACATTCCTCATAAACATGACAAAGACAACAAATGGATGCCGAAGAAGTATCAAGTCGTTGCATTGTAACATCACTAGGAAGTTTGTCATGAAAAAAAAGGCCAAGTCAAAATAGATAGTCGAGATAGAATGAAAGACTGCTAAATAACTTTTGCCCAAGCACAATCTTTATGTCTCATTCTAATTAGATCAAAATCAGAAGAGAAGGAAAAACTCCCAGAAAGAGATGGCTTCCCAAATCAATTTGTCATCAGTCGTTGTCAAGGGTACAAGATGATGAAAAATTTCATGAGCTTGAAAAATCTATAATGACCAACTCGGGAAGAATTGTAAAAAAATGACTAGATATAATGAAGAGCTAATAATCAACTTGTTCATCCATTTATCAAACTAAAGACAAACTAGTCTTCCATCTCCAATAATCCAACTACTATTGATATTTAGAACAAGTACAGCACCTTCAAACCACGCTACACAGATGACTACAAATAGATATCTTATTTTGTAAGGCGTGAGAGGAAAATTTTGGCGGGCAAAAGAACCTCTCAAGGAAGAAGATTGTAAAGTAACCCCATCCAAAATTGAGCAAAACCATTAAGTTCAAAGTAGTTAAATCACGAAACCACCTTCAATTTTAGGCCCACACACCATATTCCATTTAATAATTACCAATTTACGAGAAGCCAAGTCTCTAGACCAAATAAAGTATCGTAAAGAGGAGAGATGCTTTAAAAGGCAAGCCGACCACTAAAATACTAAGAAACTTTGCAAAACTAAACTTTAATAAACTGACTGCACTAATTGAACTCATCCAACCATAGAAAGAAGTTTTCCTTTCCAACCCAAGAAACGGGCTTTAGCCTTATCAACCAAAGATTAAAAGTAAATTCTCCTTTGCTTACCACGAAAAATTAGGACACCAAGATACATGAAGGGAGCAACACCTAAACAAATCCCAAAATGTCTCGAGACAAAAGTCATATGATGAGAAGAGCTGAACCCAAGATAAAAAGTGCTCTTATGTGCATCAATAAATTGTCCAAAAGCATGACCATACTTGACAAGGAAATCCTGCAAAGACCGAAAAGATCGAACACTCCCACAAGAGAAAATAAATAGGTCATCAGCGCATAACACATGAGTGGGAGGGCAACAACCCTGTGGAGTTGAGATAGAAGTAATCCACCTAGTAGAGTAAAGCAAATTTAAACCTCGGCTAAGAGCTTTTCTTGAACAGAAAGTTTGCAACTGCAAGTGGTCGTACTGAGTGATAGTGGTAGACTTTTTTTTTTTTTTTTTTCAAACTTTTGGGACCACTCTCTTGCTACCATGTGTCTCTTTTCTCCTTACATTCCCTGATCTCCCTCTCTTCACTCACTCTCTCTTGTTCTGCCACCTCATTATATCTCTTTCTCAATTCCCTCAGCCATCTTCCTCTGCAGATAATAACACCGAGACTGGCAAGCCTTCATTGTTCCGACTAGCTTCACGGCCACCAACAACCATCACCATCAACCTGAACCTCTCATTCCCTTCATTGAAAACTTCGTCACGCTTTCTCTCCCTCTGTGTGAGCTACACATGAACACTAGAGAAAAATTCAGCGATTCCTCCCATTCTCGACTCGGTAAGGTCCCTATTGTTTTAATTTCTGATCTCCAACTTAATTTTGAGCTTACACAAGAAATTTGGTGACTATTATTGCAAGTAACACCCATAGAATACAAACCTAGTTTTTTCGGTGAGAAAGCGACGACTTTCGAGCCATTTTTCGGTGAAATCAGACCACGGCCGAGGAAACCAATGGTACTATTCGAATCCTTGTTCCCTGATCTTTGTTTTGGTATATAACATGACTAGGTTTGGTAAAGTGTGTGTTATTTGGAGTTAGGGTTTATCTCAGCCATCATTTTTCCAGATTCCGGCAATCGCTCAAAGAAGAAGAAAGGAAGAAAAAAAAAGGCCTTAGGCCCAAAACCCGATCCAAAACCTTTGGCCCAAATCTTTAGCCCAACCGGCCCAAACCTTTGGGTTGATATTCCAACCCAGCCTAGTTCCAAAATGGGCTCAGAATATTCTGAGAATATTCTTGGAATATTACTTGTGTTGACTTTTTCAGAATTTTCTCAAAACCCCCTAAGGCTAATTCCAACGTCCCGAGTCCATTTTTTGCATCCATTTGGTGAAATTCTAAAGTTTTAATGTAGTTTGTTTGTACCATACTTGACCAATCCCGAAACTACTGAGCACCGGTTAATGTTACCGTCAAGGACCTAGAAGAGTTTCCCTCCAACCAGGAGGCCAATCACAGCGCGACACGTGTCAACATAAGAAGCTAATCATAGCGCGACACGTGTCAACATCAAAAGCCAATCACAACACGACACGTGTCAATGTCAGAATGAAACTAGAAACTCTCTTCTATAAATAGAGTTCATTCTCTCACAATATTTCTTAATGTCATTTGTACTAAATCATTCACTAGTACTCACTAAAGGAGAGCTTGAACCTATGTACTTGTGTAAACCCTTCACAATTAATGAGAACTCCTCTACTCCGTGAACGTAGCCAATCTAGGTGAACCACGTACATCTTGTGTTTGCTTCCCTGTCCCTATCCATTTACATACTTATCCACACTAGTGACCAAAGCAATCTAGCGAAGGTCACAAACTTAACATTTTTTGCTGTACCAAAGTCCCCACTGATTTTGTGCATCAACATTTGACGCCGTATATGGGAACGACACTTATACCTACTCTCTTTAGCTTTGCCAAGTTGGTTTCCACCATTTGTACACTCTCTTTTAACCAGGCATCCCTCTCCAACATAGGGAGCGAAGGAAGCCACAACACACAGAATGACACCCCTCTTGCACCTAATGCGAAGCAACGAAAGAAAGAAGGAAAAAGGGTTGCTCTTCAAGCTAAAGTCGATGAGCTAGAAGCTCAGAACAACAAGATAACAATGAAGAATGAGGTCTTCCAGGAGCAGTATGAGAAGCTCTTTGAGACGCTCCACGAAACTAGGTGTACTCAAACACGCAAGCTCGTTGCCCCTATGGACATCAACCATCATCTGGGTACCCCCCAACACGGAGGGTCACCTCCCTTTGACATGGGTATCCCTGATGAGGAGCGAGCTAATCATCAAAACATTGATCAACATGAGATTTCTTTAAACCCAGATGCTTCGACCCGAAGTAGGAGAAGTGGAAGAAGATACCTCCTTGCAGAAGGGTTGGAAGGATCGAAAGCCGTTTATCGTGACTGCCGAGACTTCCTAAAGCAACGTCGAGATAATCCCCTCCACATATGCTCGAAGATCAATGACCCAATGGTTTCTGAAAGACTCAGTCCCCTCCCACGACCCAGGCCCGCTGCCAATCTAGGGAAGGAACAACAGGTCCTAGAGGAACATGAAGGTACATGGGACTCTGAGGTATTCCAATAGACTTGCCCTAGAAGTCAGTACGGCGAGTCCAAGAAAAAACCACATGCCCTTGCTCAAACTTTCCTACTTCCAAGAGGCGATGAAGACTTACGAAAGAAAATTTCATTAGTACATGGCTCCACTCAAGACCCCCTTGTCCTACAGCTCCTTAAAGAAGTAAACAAGTTGAAGGCCGAACGTCAAGCCGAGATACCTGACTGGAACCAACCCAGGCATGACCCTCTCACAAGGAGGATCCTCGACATCTCCTTCAAACGAAGACAAAACAAAAGCTTGGTTTACAACTATATACTAGAAGGGAGAACCCAATTGAACACGTTAACCTCTTTAAGTCCACCATGGCATATCATATGCACACCGACGAAGAGCGATGTATTCTCTTCCCCTCCACCCTCTCTGGCGGAGCTTTAAACTGGTATTGCCGTCTTCCACCTGAGATAGTAGACTCATTTGAGGAACTAAGGAAACTGTTTGTTTCTCAACACATCTTCCAGACCGATCGCTTGCATTCTACAGATGACTTGTACACTATTCGCCAGAAGCCGGACGAGTCACTATGAGAGTATGCCGGTCGCTTCAGCCATGAGTATTCTCGCTGCGCTGAGGCAGATGACAAGACTATCTTCAAGGCCTTCACGGCAGGCCTACGTGATTGTTTCTTCAAGTACATGATCAATGCCAACATTTGGAAGACTTACTCTGAGATGATGGCACATGCTTACAACCATGCCTCTGCCGAAGTAAGGACATACCAAGGGAACCCCCATATGGTTAACCCCTATCAACAAGTGGGAAGTGGAAGTCAAGTTCTACCAAGTGAGGAGATCTTGGCCATTCAAACACCCATTGCATCATCTCCTGCCTCATTTAGCTACTCGCTAAGTCACCAAACGTATTTGTCTCTTGGTAAGAGGAAGGATTTTTACTCTCAGCAAGCCCATTACAACAAGAGGGATAAAAGTTCGTATCAAGACAACCAGGGGTGAACGTACCGTCGACTATTATGACTATGGGGCCAAGCCTCACTCTTTCAAAGTGGAAGACTAGGTACTGAAGGAAATGCTATTATAAGAAGGCATACACATTACAAATGTTTTGACTCTCAACCGCTTGAGATCTTTTGTCACACAAGCCATTCGGCAAATATTTAAAGAAGAGGGAATTCAGAAAACTTCTTCTGAGTCTTTTGCGTTCCTAGCACTGGAACACTTGGTCTACGCTGACCTACCCTTAGACTCCAACTCAGAGTTTTAATATGCATACTTTGACACAAAGTATGTGATACTAAGTGTTACAACCAACATGGTTCACATATCAAAAGCATGGATCCCTTCATGCATAGCAAAACATTTATAAGCATCACTCATATCAATCAACATAAACATCATACATTCCAACACATTCATATATAAACATTATACATTCTAACACATTCATACATAAACATCATACATTCCAACACATCCATACATAAGCCAATAGTGTTTTGAAAGGGTTCAATATACTTTGTGTCTTCGACACTTGCTACAATGTGCCTCGACACCTTGCCTTTATTCTCACCAACCAGGTGATGAAATGTATAACCCGTACTTTCATTCATGCCACCAACCAGGTAATGAATGTATAACCCGAACTCTCATTCATGCCACCAACCAGGTGATGAAATGTACAACCCTTACTCTAATATCATTTGGTAACTTGCCATTCATACCACCAACCAGGTGAAGAAGGAACTCATCTTCATGCCACCAACCAGGTGATGAAATGTACAATCCGTACTCCCCTTCATGCCACCAACCAGGTGATGAATGTACAACCCATACTCTCCTTCATACCACCAACCAGGTGATTAAATGTACAACCCATACTTTAATATCATTTGGCAACTTGCCACTCATACCACCAACCAGGTGAAGAAGGAACTCATCTTCATATCACCAACCAGGTGATGAAATGTACAACCCGTACTCTCCTTCATGCCACCAACCAGGTGATGAAATGTACAACCCGTACTCTAATATCATTTGGCAACTTGCCACTCATGCCACCAACCAGGTGAAGAAGGAACTCATCTTCGTGCCACCAACCAGGTAATAAAATGTACAACCCGTACTCTTCTTCATGCCACCAACCAGGTGATGAAATGTACAACCCGTACTCTAATATCATTTGCTAACTTTCCACTCATACCACCAACCAGGTGAAGAATGAACTCATCTTCGTACCACCAACCAAGTGATGAAAGCAACTCACCATTCATTCCACCTACCAGAAGACGAGTGGTACAACTTGTACATGTGAACTCCTAGCATTCACAAATAATCAAAAACCCTCAAGATTGACAACTCAACTAGGGGAGCACTTATGCCCAACAAGAGTTATAGTCACCAACAAAGTCTTATTGCAAGCCAACAACAACTTCAGTGCATGGCATACAAAGATCAAGCTATTCAGCCCTCTTGCATCTGCTTCAGACATTTCCCCTCTGTAACAATGCAAACACTACAACTCGTAGAAAGCTTTACACACTCTTGATCAAGATAGTGTGAAGCAAAACCAATTTATGGTGCCAACAAGAGCTTCATCAAAGAAGTTCAACCATAATTCTCAAAAGCTTCACATACTCTTGATCAAGACAGTGTGAAGCAAAACCAATTTATGGTGCCAACAAGAGCTTCATCAATGGAGGGCAACCACAATTCTCAAAAGCTTCACACACTCTTGATCAAGACAGTGTGAAGCAAAACCAATTTATGGTGCCAACAAGTGCTTCATCAAAGGAGTTCAACCAAAATTCTCAAAAGCTTCACACACTCTTGGTCAAGACAGTGTGAAGCAAAGCCAATTTATGGTGCCAACAAGAGCTTCATCAATGGAGGGCAACCACAATTCTCAAAAGCTTCACACACTCTTGATCAAGACAGTGTGAAGCAAAACCAATTTATGGTGCCAACAAGAGCGTCATCAATGGAGGGCAACCACAATTCTCAAAAGCTTCACACACTTTTGATCAAGACAGTGTGAAGCAAAACCAATTTATAGTGCCAACAAGAGTTTCATCAATGGAGGGTAACCACAATTCTTAAAAGCTTCACACACTCTTGATCAAGATAGTGTAAAGCA